TTGAAAACTTAAAGTATGCAAATGTAGTAACTAATATCCATACAAAGAACAATTATAAAATAATTGCACTAACGCTGTAAAAAAAAATTGTTGGTTTAGTGACCCCTTAAACGTAGCGTCTTGGTCGCTTGCCTTGACAGTTCAAGGAATACGGTGACAGGATCCAGGATTATCATTTCACATCCTTGTTTATATATTTTAAGTTCTAAACATGTGTTTACTGTGTGTGTTTTGTGTGTTTACTCTTTGTATGTGTTCTATGCACCTGTTTTTCCCCCCTTGCCCTATATCATTGTTTACCACTAAGATAGCAAAAATCTGAAAAGGAGAAGAAGGTGAAGTAGTAGTAGTAGTGGTAGCAGTAGCAGTAGCAGCAGCAGTAGAGGTAGTGGGGTTAGTAGAAGAAGAAAGAAATATAAAAAAAAGAAAAAAGAAAATATAAAAGAGAGGAAGAATGAAAAAAGAAAGAAAGAAAGAAAGAAAGAAAGAAAGAAAAAGAAAGAAAGAAAAGAAAAGAAAGAAAGAAAAGAAAGAAAGAAAGAAAAGAAAGAAGAAAAGAAAGAAAGAAAGAAGAAAGAAAGAAAGAAAAAGAAAGAAAGAAAAGAAAGAAAGAAAGAAAGAAACGAAAAGAAAGAAAGAAAGAGAGAAGAAAGAAAGAAAGAAAGGAAAGAAAGTAAGTAAGAAAGAAAGAAAAGAAAAGAAAGAAAGAAAGAAAAAGAAAGAAAGAAAAGAAGAAAGAAAGAAAGAAAGAAAAGAAAGAAAGAAAGAAAGAAAGAAAGAAAGAAAGAAAGAAAGAAAGAAAGAAAGAAAGAAAGAAAGAAAGAAAGAAAGAAAGAAAGAAAGAAAGAAAGAAAGAAAGAAAGAAAGAAAGAAAGAAAGAAAGAAAGAAAGAAAGAAAATCATTAAACAATTAAATAGATTACATCAACAAAATTTGCTACTGTTGAAATCACAAAATAATAATGCTCATAAGTATATTTTCGTGTGAGTTCCTGTAAACAGTATGTGAAGCCTCCTCTTTCAACACCAAGCACTTTATACAATAGTTGGATCCACTCCTTCACCTCAGGGGCGCAAGCAGTTTAAGCACCACAAACACCCCCCCCCCCACCCCTCCCACGCCCACCTCACGCCTCCCCCAGAACCATTTTATGGGAAGGGAGCTCAGTCCCTCTCATCCTTGACTAGTAATGAAGTAATGTAACCCCCTCCCACCTTCCTTCCTTCTCCCTATCCCCACCCCTTTTTTTTTAACGATGTATTGAAGCTCTATTTAAAAATGTGTGTTTCTACACATATTAATTCAAACATATTATTATTTTTTTATTATTATTATTAATATTACTACTATTATTAACCCAAAAGAGCACTGTTCAACACACTATTCTTACCACTGCTATGCTGTCAGTGTCAAACATGGACTTTGTATTCAGGAGACCGACGAAAAATAGCCATGACGGAAATGAGACGTTTACGTATCCTGCTAGGTGTAAAAAGGAAATACGACCTAGGAAAGCGGCTAGACACTCGCCGCGGATCGGAAGGTCGTGGGATCGCTCCCTGGCGGAGCCGGACTATTTTTTTCAAAAATGACCTTGGCTCCCAGGTCAAACCAGCCTTGACTGGGTACCGGGTACAGCCCCGGGAAGTTAAGGCGTGATGCTGACCACGTCACCCATCTTGTGCCGATTGGTCTATAAAAATATAGGTCTAGCCCTATATGCCCTATACTCCTAAAGGTGTGGAAAGGGGTCCTTTACTTTACGACTTAGGAACGATGATATCAGGAGCAGAGTCCTCACATAATCAATATTACACTTTATCGGCAGACAACAGATAAAGTGGTTTGGCCATGTAACAAAAACTGGCAACAAACAGGGCACCACAGTGAGCAATGCTATACAGATACAACAGTAACAGAGTCAGAGGTAGATCACCCAGACTATGGACCGCGGGAATTTCAGAGAGACTAAAAAGTATTATATACGAAGCGAGCAGAAGGGCCGTTTCCAGAGATCTGTTCCTGCCCCGACGCTGCGAGGAATTCCAGAAGTAGAAAAAAGAAGAAGGGGAAAAAGAAGATTAATCTAAAGAAGGTTTAGACTCACCCTTTCCCCATTACAAATTTGAAGAAAAGACAAAAAAAAGGGGGGGGGGGGGGGGTTTGGGTGGGTGTGTCAAAGGGTCCCTCATGTTTTCTTTGCATCGGCGGCCCCGCTCCAGCCCCTCTTTGTGTCTGTACATGCTAACCTAACTGTGTTAAATAAAATTACTCATATGTTGCTGTCTTCTGTAACTGTTCACTATTTTGACCTCACACATTCTCCTTTAAGTGTACACATTGTTGACCGCTCCAGACAAGATGATATTGTTCTAATGTTACATGTGATTTCTACGACACACTGTGTTCATCTATGTAATAAAATAAAAGAGATAAAATGTTCACTTGCATCTGTTAATTTTTTTTTTCTTTTCTGGAATAATCTTTCGTGATCCGAGGATGGAGATGGTCAAAGCGTTCGCTGTGTGCTCCAGAAGTCGCGGGTTTGTTTAGTACGGGAGGAAGGGGCTGCACTATTCCGTTTACACACCCATTTGTTTCTGTCATTGATACATTCCTTTTCTTTTCAAATGGGGAAAAACCAAGAACGGATTGAACGCAGAGACACCAAGATCCTAATTCAAGCAGACACGTTTCTCAGCATGCTTAGACACCATATGTATGAAATATTCCAAAATCTAGTTATGGGGTGACTAAAAAGAAGCTGTTTCATACACCAGGCCAAACGGCTCAGCAGACAAACAACTGATCTTGCTGTAACTGATAGACCCTTCAATGCTATTCCAGACCGGAGCCCCGGGAGAGAGGATTATGCTTCTAATTCACACCCAAACAGAAGTGAAAGGAATATTTGACAAGGAAGAACAAAATAGCGTGCAGTGTGAAACAGCCACCATCAGTCTACTTGATGATGAATACCAGCGGGACCTTTGGGTTCGTGTTTGCACAGTTGGGCCAGTACAAAATGCATCAGAAAGGGAGCAGTAGTGTACACTGAGCACCCTAATAATACCAGGGATACAACAAAAATACAACAGGAAAGCACTGTCACAACTACGATGCAGAAGTTCAAGCCATCAAGATAGCAGCAGAGTAAATACTAAAAACAGGGTATATTTCATAACCACTGGTATTCATAACAGATAATAGAGCGGTACTTGATGCCCTCCCGTTTGGAAAATTACCAGATATGCGGACACTACTCTCTAAAATATTCATTCGGTGTAAGGATACCGTCCCACTGTGGAGTTCCCGGAAGTGAAAAAAGATGATAAACTAGCTCAAGAAGGTGCAACTGAAGAACAGTTTGACTTACGAGTCTCTTGTCAACAAAAGAAGAAAATAATCAATTCAATCAGAAAGCCACCAAACACGGTACAATTATCAGATTGTGGACAGCTCATTGCAAGTCATTGTTCTACGCCTTAGAACAGGGCACAATCGACTACAAAGCTACATGTACACACAGTTTTAGATTAGCGAATCAGCCATGTGCACATGTGGGCCGGCACCTGAGACCACAGATCACATCCCCCAAGACTGCCCCAAATACATTTCCAGGCAAAAATTCTGGCCAAGATAGAAATGATGGAAGCCCAAATTAACGGGCCACTAACTGAATTACAAAAGACAGTGAAGTTCATACCAGAGATTTCATTGCAGATATAGATAATTTATTTCTTGCGAACGAAAAAAGAAGTTAAAGCCCAATTAGATCAACTAAGGGTTATTATGAAGCATTTCTTTGTTTAAGTTACCTGCGTTGATAGGATTCGTGGTATCATTAGGGGTGGTTACTGAGGTTCGGTGTTTGTGCTTTGTTTACGCTCCTGGAAAGCGGAAGGAGACAGTGAATATAAACCCGAAACAAGTGCAATAAATTTGATACTTCACCTTTTAAAATCATCTTTAATCACTTCTGTACAATCATATACTTTACAAATTTAAATAAATTCAAAAAGATCATCGATCACACTTTGACACGAAAGACTTCCATTGTTTTGAGGTATCAACAAAGTCCAACGTTCATGACTCACTAAGGTCATCTCACTCTTTCACACCACTCCCCATCCTCTGTCTGTGAGAGAGAGAGGAGAGGGGGAGGGAGAAAGAGAGATAAATATTTATCTTAACTGTGTTACCTGTAGGTGTGTGAGTGTAAACAGAGAGACAGAGAGATAAAAAGATATAGAATGGCTAAGGGTGAGAGTCTCAGATATATGTGTGTGTGCGTGTATGAGAGACTCTCTCTCTCTCTCTCTCTCTCTCTCTCTCTCTCTCGCTCTTTCTCTCTCTCTCTCTAATCCGTTTGATTCGGTGCTTCCGTATCTCTGTCTGTATCTCTCTCATTACTCTCACACTCTCTGTCTCTTCCTCTCTGTTTATTACAGTCTATTTTCCTTACGCACATGCTCTATATCTTCTTCTGTATATATTTGTCTCTCTAATAACACACACGTGATACACTTAAATAAACAATTGTATCACACACACACGCACACACATAACACATGTTTATCAAAGCCTCACTTCCTCACCCATTCTGTCTTTCTTACTCTCTCTCTCCTCTCTCTTTTTTACACTCACGCCTACATATGACACAGTTAAATCACTGTATATATCTCTCACACACACACTATATCTTAGTTTCTGTTTCTCACTCACGCTGGTTTTTTGTACGTCGCTAATCGCACGCCCCCACCCATCCACACACACAAATTCGCACTCACGCACGCACGCCCTCGTGCGCGCGCACACACACAAACACACACAAAACACACACAAAACACAGTGAAATAAACCAGACTGCCATATCCACCGGGTCTGTACACGAATAACTTCCATTACTCTGAGGTTACTAACGGCGTCCTTTGATCGTGTCACAACGGGATTGGCTGCAACTGTTGATCCGTAAGATTCGATTGAATCAGCTGCCTCATTACGTATGTATAGGAGTGAAGAGAACACCTAGTGAAGAACAGGCAATGTCAGAAAGAGCAATTTATGTGAGGTTTATAATGGAATTTGGTGATGCAAATACGATCAATATGGAAACAGAAGCAAGTTAGTTGGATAACCCACACAAACTGGACTTAAGGTTATTTCGTCACCATGTCTATTTATTCGCGTCTACCGGCTGTAACCTCCGGTGGAAAGTATTTGTTGTTCATCCACCTCTGGATTCTGCTCTTGTTCCAGAACCTGAGTGTTGCGTGTGCATCCATTTTGCACATCTCGCTTATTTGTATGCAGACTGATGTTTCCTTGCTTCTCATGTAGATCCACTCCGACTTCGAACTAGTCACCAATTATTCGACTGTTACGACATGCTTGTTAGGGAGACGGGCGACTCTCGATGTAATTCTCGAAATCAACGCGGAGGTTTGCTGCCAAATCGCTTGCAGATGGAACTGAACCTAGTATCTCAGTACAGTCTCCCGCTCCTCCTTCTCGACCAAGAGGTTGTGTGTTGAATTTATATTTTCCAACAATATTTTCCATTCAAACAGGTTATACAAATTATTCACAAGATATCTAATGCATTTTATATGGGTACATTATTGCACATAAGGTGGGAAATACATAATATGTTCACCCCCGTGTGGGTTTCGGGGCCCGATTGTGGGGAAAAACAAGAATAGACCCCCTGCCTTCTCAAAAGCATGTCGTAAGAGTCGACTAATTGTGGAGCTTCCTTTGAAGTCGGAGTGCATCTGCCGGAGAGGCAAGGAACCAAAAGTCTGTATTCAAGAGAATGAGATCTGTAAAACTGAAGCACACGCAACACTCAGGTTCTGGAGCAGGACTGCAGTTCAGTAGTGGACGAGCAACCAGAACTTTCCTCCAGAGTTTACAGTCGGTGAACGCGAAGAAGAAGAAGATAATATGTTCATTCTTGCATCATTTTCAGGAAGGTTTTGATCATACCAAGGACGCTAAATGAAGAATTTTCAGAAATGACTTCTACTCCCAGGTAGACCCTGCCTAGAGTGGGTACTAGGTGCAATCCTGGAAAGTAAAGGTGGCCGGCGTGACGCTGACCACATTACACACACAGTTCCGATTGAGCTATAAAATATACATCTATCCCAGCGGTTCTCAACCGGTAGGTCGAGACCCTTTTTTCTTTTTTGGGTCCAACTACCTCAGAGTACTAAAGTGAATCTTATCATAACTATTTTTTTGGCCTACACAATGCTATCAATGCCAAATATGGACACTTACATCCTCCAATGAACGTAAAATTGTGACAACAGAGATGAAATGCCTTAGAAGAGCTGCAGGAGTTTCAAGGAAAGACAGAATACGAAATCATGAAATCAGACGAATGCTGGGAATAAAGCCAGTCTTTCAGGTCATCAAAGAACAACAAATAAAGTGGTTTCGACACCGAACAAGAATGCCCTGGTACTATCCGCCAAAGCGAGCCACACTAAAACTACAACGGGTATAGAGCGAGTGGAAGACCTTGGAAAAAGATGGAGTGATAGCATTAAGAGCAGCCTTAAAGAAATGAACATCAGTCTTAATAGTGCTCTTGACAGAGCTCATCGGTGTACATTACCTCTCTCCCCGACACTTCGATGAGATACAAGGTGAAAGAGAAGAAGAAGAAGAACTACCCTTTTACAAGGGTCTCCTAAAATCATCGGAAAACACAAAATCATTGAAGTTATGAAGTAGCAACGCAAACAATTGTGTGGTTGAGGGTTGCCAGAACATAAAGAACTGTATTTAAGGGTCGCGGCGTTAGAAAAGTTGAGAACCCCTGGTCTATCCCTGTGGGCCCAGTACACCTGAAGACGTAGAAAAAGGCCAAAAGTCAAGGGGAAGGTGCAAGGCCTCAGCCACAGACGCCGACAGAGGCGTGAGAATAAAACAAACAAGTGCACAAAAGTGTTGTTGCATTAACAGTTACTACAGTTGACTTGGGCGCCGACACAAAGAAAACACTGGGGGTGGGGGTGTGCTTAGCCTTGTCAAAATTTTCCTAATGAAGGTGGAGGCTTTTTGGGGCTAAATATTATTTAAGTGCATAAACACAGAACCCGGAACCTAATAATAATAATAACTATTCTAATTATAATATATTGAATGGCATAAAAATATACTCCTCCACGTGAAATAATATGAAAGGTAAAAAAAAATATTTTAAAAAAAAACCACACAAAGAGAACCTCAATAGATGGTTGAGGTGGTGGGGCGGGGGGGGGGGGGGGGGGGGGGGGGGGGGGGGGGGGAAGGGGGGGGGGGGAACTTTAACCTACTCATACATTTTTTCGAAGTGGCAGAGGGGCAGGGTGATGCTGCCTAATCCTACAATTTTATATATAAAATTAGCAATACTCTGAAAATGATCTAAATTTGGGCTATAATTTGACAATCTTTTCAAACCTCATGTCTCCGGCATTACCAGTCCAAACCCCGGATAAAAAAGGAGGAGGGTTGGAAGTGTGAATCATGTAAAAAATATATTTGTCACAGAAGCTTGCAGAAAGCTATGCCATTCTGGTAAAAAGTCGACTAGACTGCACAAGATAGAACGGAATGGGAAAAAAAGGGGGGGGGGGGAGATGGACTGCGATCCCGGCAAGACGTATAATTGCACAACAGGGCAATGATGATGAAGAGGATGATGACAATGATGAGGATGGTGACAATGTATAGAGTTTCAAAATGCAGCCTACCTGCTACAGCGGCTGTGGCAAAGTTGGCCAGATTCCCAGCAATGAAGGCCCGAATGAGGACACTCATCACATCCTTCTTGCGTGTGGGCGACATGGGTATAAGGGTGCCCATAGAGAAGCCAATGGCGGGAAACGCAGAGATCCCACACAGGGCGTACGTGGTTATGACTTCTGCTCTTTCCTGTGGACAGGGATATCAACACGATATCACCATAAGCCATGTAATCGTTTGTGATGTTGATAATAATGTTGAATGTGACAGTGATGTTGAAGACAGGGATTGTGACGGTAGAGATGTCGGAGATGAATGTGATAACGATGATGCTGATAATGTTATGATGATATTGATGGTATAGTATTACACTCTAAATAACACCACAAAGAGCAATGTTATACAGATACAGAGGTAACGAACCAAGAGGTCGACCACGCAGATAAAGACCTAAGAAATCTCAAAGACACTGAAAAGTATCTAATACGAAGCAAACAGAAGGGCCCGTTCCAGAGATCTGCTCCTGCCATGATGCCGCGAGCCACTCCATGCGTAGAGAAAAGAAGAAGAAGATTAGGTTAAGGATTTTTTCCAGCGCCTTGAAGTAAATTGTCGGCTCTGTGGCTAAGTCGATGCGAACGCTTCGTTTTTTTTTAATGACAGATACTGATGCTGAAGAAAGCACACTTTCTTTTCGCTAACAGATAATTATTCTTTTACAGTATCCATGATTTACATCGGTGTGGCAGAGACTGACTACAAACTCTGAGAGTGATGTTAGCTCATTAGGACAATATTTCCTTCGTAATGGGCTGTATTCATCTATAACAGCCAGAGTTGCGAGTTACTGGAGTTTTTCGTCGGCCTCCTAGCTCAGGGTGGAAGTTGTGGTATGACGACAAGACGCTCACTTGCGAATCTGAATGTCCTGATGGAACCGGAATTTTTTTTTAAATGGCCTTGGCCTTGGTCGAACCAGGATTAAATGAGTACTAGACCTGGGAAGTAAGGACGACCGGTGTGGTATTGACATCACAACCGACTAGTGTCGATTCGTCTATAAAATATAAGTCTAGCTCTGTAAGCCCTTTGCGCTCAAAACGTCTAAAGGTATGGAAAAGTGTCTTTACTTTTGCTTTAAAAAATAACGTCTGGCTCACTATTTCCGATTTATGGATTTCTTCAAAGAAAGAGTGGGCTAATACCTTCTCCTTAATCACGTTTGTTGTCCCATCCAATTTCCCGCTGCAAGTTGAGTCTCAACCTTTCACTGAATTTCTGGGGGGTTGGGGGGGGGGGGGGGGGGTTGGGGGGGGTGGGATTAGGGTCCCTCGCGTGATAAGCTAGAGCGAGAAAGGCTAATAGTTTTAAAACCACGCTTTAAAAAAAATTGCAATGCTATTACAGTAATAACATAGGCCAGTAAAAGTTCGAAAATTATTAGAGAGATGGAACGAAAATTAAACGAATTAGAAAACAATGCATTCAAGACTGTTGAACATTAATGGAATGAATTCAAGAAAGGCGGGGGGGGGGGGGGCGGGGGGGGGGGGAATAATTTGAATCCCTGTACAACCAGTGGTATCAACAGCTAAAAGACAGAGAAGATTTCGATCGATTTATCTTTTTACATCATGAGGATAAGCCAGATAATCACACAAAAAACTAAAATGAGAAACAAATGGACTGAAAAGACAAGGACGTACAAAAACACCTTAAAACGAGCGTTGATGAGAGAGGCCAAAGAAACTGGCCTGTCCTAAGAATAGATGATTCCGAAGGAACTGCACAAGACAGAACGAAATGAAAGAACAGACTACGAACCCTGGTTTCAAGAAAAGATATAAAACCGAATAAAAAGTATATCAGCAAGCTGCACAACATAATGAACACGCACAAAACGTTGCGTCTAAGGAACCTTCATCAGCACATACATAAATTAAACAACACAAATACATAAAATCACTTAGATTAGTATCTCGAAGCGGCCAGGTCGATGTCATGTCAGTGAGACACGTGGGACACACAAAAAATAACCCCGGGGAATTCCAGGGACCGTAACTGCATGGTTTTAGATAAAACAGTGTGGGCAATCCAATCCCTTAGGATTTTAGATGAAAAAGTGTTGGCAATACCTACCAACCCTAGGATAACAGAACAAACGCATTATAATGATGATGAAAATAATCATGTTTAAAATAAAATACTTACACTGAGAAAGCCGTTGTAGAGAGTTTGGTTGGTGCTGTCCAGAATAACATCTTTCCCCGACCAGTGCCAGGTGTTGTTAGCGACTGACGTGTATTGCTCAAAATCTAGACGGTTCTAGAGATGAGAGAAAGGCGGGTCAGGACCAAGATACTGTCATTAAATATTGCATTCGCAGTAAAGACCACAATGATGGAAATGTTCCCCTTTCAGGCCAACGCACAAATCGTGCTTGAAGAGGATGCTCAAGAAAATATGGACTGATAACGTTACAGATATTGTACATTTATACAGAGGCACTTTAGTAAGTACCATTTCTGGTGTGTCTGACCACCAACACTTCCCCCCCCCCCCCCCCAATGAGGCTTAGCCGCAAAAGTTTATGATGCTGCTGCTGTTGATAATAATGATGATGATGACGATGATCACGATAGAAACTAGTAAGACTATCAGAAGAATACAAGATGGTCGATAATGCCTCCTCCTCCTCTTTTTTTTCTTTTTCTTCTCTTCTTCTTCTTCTTCTTCTTCTTCTTCTTCTTCTTCTTCTTCTTCTTCTTCTTCTTTTTCTTCTTCTTCTTTTTTTTTCTTCTTCTTCTTTTTCTTCTTTTTCTTCTTCTTTTTCTGATGCTACTACCGCTTCGTTCGTCCTTAATAAAGCGGTTGACACGTCATGTTGCTGCTTATAGCTGGGCTATAATATCAGCGCCTTTCGGTCCGATACTTCCAGATCCGTTTTCATCAACTCCTTAATTGTTCGCTATCTATGACATGCCTCTTAAGTAGAAGCGGGTCTACCCCCTTCCCTCCCTCCAACCTTCATTCCACCTCACCCTTCTCATCCAGTAAAATTGGGTCTGGAACGCACTCAACAGTTCAATAACTTGATGTCACATTAAAGCCTGACACTGGACAACAGAGACTGTACAGTCCAAGTGAAAAAAGCCGTAGCGATGTGGGTAACACGTTGACTGTCTGCCTGGGCGTCACAGATTCAAATCCCCAGCAAGGCAAGCTGTTATATTTGTTTTGGACTCATAGGCTGATCTAGATTAAAATGTGTGTCATGCAGTGTTCTGAGTAGGCAGGTGTATTATTTATGGTAACTTTCAACATGTACATATCTGTCTTTAAAATATGTCATATTATATATATATATATATATATATATATATATATATATATATATATATATATATATATATATATATATATATATATATTAGAATCCAAATTTTAGAAGGGTATTCATTTAACATATTGTAATTTTACTTTGCATACAATTTTAATTTTCCGCTCTTTAACACTCGTCCCCATGTGGGATGCAAATTTTTGTTATTCCAAGCCCCATCCTGGCTTTTTTCGGGAGCCCTGAATATAGCCGGGCCATAAATATGGCTTAAACGGCTGAAAGGGGTTTCTGGGACCTCTTCACAGGCGATCCTTATCCGCATGGTGGCACCACCGGGTGTTTATAGCTTGTGTGATGTCCTGGTGGAGTTCAACAAGACAGAGAGAGAGAGAGAGAGAGTGAGAGAGAGAGAGAGAGAGAGAGAGAGTGAGAGAGAGAGAGAGAGAGAGAGAGAGAGAGAGAGAGAGAGAGAGAGAGAGAGAGAGAGAGAGAGAGAGAGATTTTCCTAGCCAAAAATTGGTCCTTTCAACAACAACAAAAGACAACAAAAAATTTTCGGCGGAGCGGACAGCCAGAGATAAGCTGCGATGGCTTGATGTGATATCTTCGTCCATTCTTTGGTGCAAAAGAGCACTACAATCTGTGACAATAAATGAATGTATAGTTTGTAATTACTTGAATGATTTTCCCCAGATCCCTGTAGGCTACAAAGGGCGTGGCTATCATCTTGATCCCAATTAATGATCCCACTTTTCCACAGTCACCGACGGGAACTCCCATGATGTAGGACAACGGGTAGAGAATGTAGGAACAGATCAACTGAAAATAGATTACAAAAAAAAAAAAACAATATGGATGTCTTCTTCTCATTCTTCATTGTTCTTCTTAATGTCGTAAATGTGTTATATGCTCGTATTTGTGCTTTTCAGCCATCTCCGATTTTTTTTTTCCGGGAATTTGTTATGCAGCGGCGTCCAATGCATAGACTTTGCGAGTCCGACTCGTAATTCCAACGTACCGTGATCGAAACCCACTGCTGGCTGCGTGGATTTTTATCGTGGTATGGGGCGTCGCAGGTCGACCCAGCCTAAAATGGCTACCAGGATGTATGTCATGGTGATGTAAAGACGGCTGGCGTAATGCTGACCACTTTACCCACCTAGTGCGGTTTGGTCTGTAAACATATGGGATGCTCTTCCCATATGCCCGATGCGCCTAAAGTGTGAAAAGGGATCTTTACTTTTATTTTTTTAACTTTAATTATTTCTTATGCAGGGTTCCGGTTCCTTTCGTGGGACATAGGTGTGTTGACTTCGTCATCCGCTGATCCACATTTGTTGTTCTTAGAGAACCTTTACAGGACATCTACATGCAGCTAGGTCGACCCTCCAGCTTGCTTGCTTTCTTTGAGTGACTGTGTGACGTTTAACCCTACCATGGACCACACAACGACACAAAAATGCCATCTTTCGGGTGAGAATCTCACAGGCACAGTTCCCTGAAAAACCGGTGAACTGTAATATTATATTACATCCTACACTTGACTGCCTAATCTCACGTCCGTTTAATGAGCCTGCCACTCATTAAGGATTCCTCCCTTTAGGGATCCAAAAGAAACAGACTGCATACTTGAGTCGATTTAATACGCAAATCCGCACCTGTTCCTCAGCACGCTAGACTTCTCTATTCGATAACACTCGAGTCCACAAATCTTTCAAGTTGAGACTTCTCTCTTCAGTAACACTCGTCAACAAATTTTCATGTTAGACTTCTCTCTTTCATAACACACAAGTCAACAATTTTCAAGTTAGACTTCTCTCTTTGATAACACACTTGTCAACAAATTTCCAAAAGTTATTTATACCAGGAAGAAAAGCTTATTGTAACAGTTTCGGTTGTGATGAAAACGATTGGGATTTTTGATTAAATGTCCTTTGGCTCTAATTTTCAAGATGAATGCCATTTTGTATTCATTTATTATTATTTTTTTTTTACTTTTTAGTTACCATAAATTTATATGCATACATGAACCAGCTGCTGTTAGCGATTGCATAATGTTTTAAATGACCAGTACAAGTTTAATGAGAAGTTCCGACTCTCGGCCTTTAATAACTGCCTGATTAGGCAACGTCTTCTGAAGTAATGGTCACTTTGTGCACTGCTATCCTACTTACAAAGAAAGCAACAGTACTTTTTTTATCCAAGGTGGTAGTCCAAGCAATAGAGCTACCACTTTTAGGTTACCATAAAGTGACCAATGATGATGAGCGTAGATTATACACTTTAAAGGCTGCTCAATGTTTTTATAAGTTTCTTATGTATAAAGTGACGGTAGCACATTACATTGTTTCAACAAAACAGTTTTAAAACTCGTCATGGATAAATCAATGGAAAATCTCCACTTTTCCGGTTTGCAATTGATTTTGAGGGCTGCCATTAAACCAGAAATGTTCTGGACGCAGGGCGGTCACCCTCTTCACACATAATGTACTAAGACGCTTATGGGGGTTCCCATACAGAGACATAATAACATCTTCTGCAATGCGATTTTGATGTTGCAACCTGGAACCCAAAAGCCCAGCCTTGTTCCTCAGTAAATTCAGATCTTTCACACTATCATTGAGATCATCTAGGTTATTGCGTATGGTTTATTGCATGTCTCACCATCATGTAGCAGGTCCTTAGCAGAACGTCGCTCTCATCACGGTTTGCCTGAAAGAAGCTCGGTCTCCCGCCAGCCCTCCGTCCTCGTGTACTTTCATATTCATGGATTCACTTATATCCTGTGCCCATCTTCGTGTTGGTCGACCTTCTTCCTGGCACCATGCCTTCTGCTATTGTGTTTTTTTTTTTGGGGGGGGGGGGGGAAGGGGGGGGGGCGGGATTTTGTAGGTTTTGTTGTTGTTGTTTTTTTTCACTGTGCGCTATGGCACTTGATGTGACCAAAAATCTTTAGTATCTAAGACAGGATGCTGTTTATTAACCAGTCTTCCTTGATGTTCAGATCTTTCAAAATGTAGTGGATGTAATTTGTTCAAAATCTGGGATGCTTGAGGCTGATGATTCAAGACCACAGGTGTCCTCTTCTCATCAGGGAATCAGCTCGAAATGATTCTAGGATTTTGGGAACTGGTAGGTCATCACCATGTTGTCCCGGGCGTGATGTAAAGGGGAGGTTTGGATATTCCAAAGCCCTTTTTCTCACTTTTTATATATTTTTTTAAAAATCTTTATGTGTCATTCCCAACTGGAGGGACTACACGAAAGGTGATAGTTGCCGAAGTCATCAGTGGACTCTCTCCGAATCATTGGGACTGCAAAAGACATAGCATAGTTTAGGATGTGTTGCACATGCATTGCATCATGTGTGTGGTACACAGCTCTTATCTTGATCTCCTAATCTGCAGCCAAAATACAAACTATACGCCTTCTTAATCACTTTAGTTATCTTTCGCTTTTTATGATAAAAATATCCCCTCGCCACATACATATAATAAAGTATGTGTTCCCTTAACACATATCCTATTTTTTTATAACTACTATACTTTTGATAAGGCCAAATACACTAAATAATGGCAAAATGTTATCATAGATAAAATATTAATAGAGAAAGACGATATAATTGTGGGTAGAACTGCATCATGAACTACTAAAAACAATTTCTTGGTCACTAGAAACAAAAGTATGCAATAGCCCACTACAGCAGCGTCTTATATACACATTAACTGTAATTAAATAAACTAGTAGCATATATCTTGAAAACCATAGCCAATCAACACATTTAAATGTCAGTGTTTTTTTTTCAAAATTGGTTAACATCAGCTTTTTTTAAATATATATATTTCTGGGACATTTGTTGAATGGTGTAATGGCACTTCTCACGGGGATGCATCGGGCACTTTTGGGTGCATTTATTGGAATTAAGAACCAGATGTGGCTTCTCTGTAAACTAATTACTCTCTAACGAGAGGCTCCCTAGTTACATTAAATGAAAGTAGGACAGTTTGTAAACAAATGTCCCTGATTATGAACGATTTAACAGTTTGTGGGTTCTATTCATTTCAATGTTATCACAATTGACATCTCGGCCCATTGGACATCCCTGTGCCTACCAAGTCTTCTACTACAGCCGTAATACCACAACTACCTGTACTACTATCCCAAGAAATGTTAATTTTTATATCGGCTTCCTTGACACATAAGAGGTCATAAGCGTGATAGACCAGGCTTGACTTCCAGGTCGCCTAGTCGAATTAATATCAAATGCTAGTCAGAATCAACAAGCCTAGCCAGAAAACAGTCCGTCGATATTTTCTTTCTTTTTCGTAGCGTTTGTCAGCTGTAAACTTCGGCTGAAACATTTGGTTGTTCATCCATTTCTAAACTTAGCCTTGTTCCAAAACCTGAAATTTTTTTTTATTTGCATCCAGACCGAGTTCCTCACCTCTCTCGCAGATGTACGCCGACATCGACGAAAACTCTCCTATTTAGTAGCCTTTTACGACATGCTTCTAATGAGGCATTGTGTCTAATTGTATATCCCCAAATGGGGTCAGTATCCAGAAGGGATATAGGTTAGTTGTGTATCCTTTACATGACGTTGCAGAACCAACCCTAACAGTCCCTGGCTGTTGTGTGGTTTTTTAAGGCAAATTTATGTCCAGTAGTTTGCTATTAATTTCTTGACGGTAGGCTTCTTTGATACCACTGTCGAAACCAACGCAAGGCGCATGGCCTGCAGTTGGGATCGAACACATACAGAAAACATGATCATTTAAAAAGCGAAAAACACTCTCTCACATCAAAGCTCATGTTGTCCACTCCAGCCCGGGCTCCAATCCACACCAACAGGTGGTCAACCAGGTTCATCATGGACACGAAGGCCAACATGTTGACCATGATGGAACCCACCAGCTTGATGGAGAACGTGGCTCCTTCAGAGATTGCCTGTAGGGCGTTTCGTTTCCTGGAGAATGATTTCGAAGTCTGGTTTAGGAAGCTAACTTAAGGTTCCTTTTCATACAAGCACCCACATATTGCAGGCATATATATATATATATATATATATATATATATATATATATATATATATATATATATATATATATATAAGCACCAACCACACATACACACAACAACACACTCTCACATACACACAATAATGCATATACACATTTCTGAAAAAGACCAATACTTATTCTTTAGTCCCAGTACAGTGACGTTTAGAAAGCTCAATAAAGACCTCTTTTCATACAAACACAATAACACACTCTCTCACACACAGCTACGCAGGCACACATTTTTGGAAAACACCAACACCTCTTCACTACAATGACGTGGAATCCTCACAAGTTCAGATAAATACTGCTAATCCCACTAGATATGAATGGTGTTTCTTTATATATCTTCGGCTAGTGCATTGCCGACTGGCCAGGGCGACCATATCTCTCTACAACCTGCGTTCTCCGATAGCATGCATCACTTAGTGTGCTGACACTGTTTTATGACATGACAAACGGCTGCTTAAAATCTTCTCGTTTTAGCACTAGGAAATGTGTGGAGGTCAAAGAAATTAAAACTAATACTAAACTCAAAAATTTTAATTCTTTATGTAAAATCAGTACTCGTGTGTGGAGCGGAAACATAGAGAACAACGAAGGCAATCACTAATAAACTACAAACATTCATTAACTGGTGCCTGTGAAGAAGAGAGGGAATTGAATGGTATGATGAAATCACTAATGTAGAGTGGACTAAACAAGTTGCCGTGGACCAAATGGTGAAGAAAATACTTTGGCGTTAGATAGGACACACGTTAAAAAAACCTGAGAACAATATAATTAGAATGTCTTTGCACTGAAACCAACGTGGGATATTTAATTAAGGAACACACACACACAACACACACAAAAAACATGGAGAAGGGAGCCAGTGAGTCAAGTTAAAAAATACTGGGAAGACATGAGGAGAACTGCATTCAATAGCGAAGGATAAAACCACTTAGCGTGAGTTGGTTGAGCTCCTATGCTCCACTGGGTGTTAGAAAGGCAGCAGAAGATAATCTTCTAGCGCTTTCTTCCTCTATCTTTCTTTCTGGAAGCCAATCCGATGGTCAGAAAATAGTAAAAAATGTTGATTGTCCCTCTTCTGATTGTTTTTTTTAATAAGCTGTCCTTACAGGGGTGTTAAAGAACTAAACAATTGAGAAGGGGGGGGGGGGTAAATTGCCTTTCCTTAGGCCCCCCCCCCCCTCTTCTCCGGCACTTCATCCCACCCCAGTCTTAAAAATTGACTAGGCTGGCAAAAAATATTGATCTGATGCTACAGAGCCAACCCGGCATTGTTTGGCTATTTATGATCTCACTAGACAACTTTACATTTAGTAATTTGCCCTTGTTTTCTAAATGGTCGATTGTCGATACCACTAAAGAAACCAATGCTAGGCGGCCTTCTAAAAATGGCCCGCAGCTGGAATCGAACCCTGTTCCTGGAATTAGGAAAGGCGTTCCGCAACGCCTCATCACAGACTTTGACGTCTAGGCATGGAAGGCTCTAAATGAGTCGAAACCTAGTCTAGGAGCTTAATAACAGATGTTAAATGATGAATGACAATCAAATACTAATTCGAAATAATATTATGGGAGCCGCTTACCCACTTCCGAAAAGTGGAGTGTGTGGTCTTCAAGGGTCTCCTGCTTTATGGTCTTTACATATAGCTATTAGATATTTTCAAGCAAAAGTTTTAGGCTAATATCTTACTCTGAGGTGTCCCTCATTTTCACGTCACTTTGGCTGTCATAGTTGACCGTCTCCACCTCTGGGTACATCAGCTTGGAGATGGCCAACCCGGCTGGAGCTGAGATCACAGACGCCGTCAGCAGATGGTTGGCGGGGGCCTGCTTGGGGGGGGGGGGGGAGAATAATGTTAACTCTTTCACTACCAAACAATTACCATTCATTTTTTCGTTTTTCCAAAGACAACATGACGTTCCTGCTCTCTACTATCACACATATTTTTTCAAGGTCACAGTCCCTAATGGGGCACATGACGCTAGACTAATATTTTTAATAGACCAATCGATGGGCAGTCGCCTTTTCATCCCAGGATTTTACCCACTCAAGACTGGGTCAAGCCACGTGTCAAGGTCATGAAAGAACTAAAAATTTAAAAAGACAGCGCCATTCGAATTTGAATACACAACCTTCGGCGACTAGCCACTGCACCATGGCGGCTTCCGATCATAAGTATGTGGAAGAGCGCCTGAATTTTTACAGACCTTCGGCACTAGGTGGGTAATGTGGTCAGCATTACGCCGGCCGTCTTTACTTTCCCAGGATAGCCATCCTGGTACCCAATTTAGGCTGGGTCGACCTGCGACACCCAATACTATGATAAAAATCAACGCGCCAGCAGTGGGTTTCGATAGCGAAATTCTGGAATTACGAGTCGGACTCGCAACGCCTAAGCCACGGACGCCGCCATTCCGATCATAGATATACTTTAAATAAATAATCAGGGCTTTTCCCCCCCTGTTTGTCCTGAAAAAGAACATTGTTGGAAACGGTGCTACGCGGTGTTTGTTTGGCTTTTCCTCGCGGCTTCACAAGGCGGTAACCCAGCAGCCAATAGGGCACCAGCGCAGCGACTAGCACGAGTTTACACCAAACACCAGCAACACTCAGCTAAAACCCACAGAAATAGAAGCAAAGACAGATGGATCAGACCGGACCCAGAACCCCAAGTACCACACTGGACTTAGGAAGACAAAGAACTGGAATATCAGGTGTGACTTCACACCACAAAGAATAGGAAACCAAATCAGATAGCCAAGGAACCTTCTTTCATATAGCAAGCCTCTGGGCTGCTGAAAAAGGATCAAGTTTGGAATTTTGGTAATCAACTGAAATTGGAATTGGGAAGTTATTATTATTGTTGTTTTTCAGGAAGAAAAAAAAACACGCTGGTCCTGCACACCGTTGCTTACCACCAGGATAAGGCCCTGTAAACATCTTTTACTTGGATAATATGTTTAACAAATTCTGTCCCATAATATCTATGTTGAACTTCTTCCTGCTCATTATTCACTATCTCCATGTGTGGATTCGAGGCTCCACTGTGGGGGGGGGGGGGGGGGGGAGGGGGGGGGGGTAATACACTCACTGCCTCTCCAACGATCATGTCGTAAGAGGCGACTAATTGGGGAGCCTTCTTCAAAGTAGGAGTGCCTCTGTCGGATGCACACGCACAACTTAGGTCCTGCTGGAACAAAGCCCAAGTCCAGAAATGGACGAACAGCCAAGTCTTTTCCCAGAATTCACAGCCGGAACGCAACCAACAACAATAATAACATTTACTGTCTAAAGCTTGACTTCTTCGGGGTAGAAACTGGGTTAGGTAACAACTGATTGGTACTGAGAGAGTTAACAGCCATATAGAACTAATCGTGGCCTGCGAAAGGAAATCATGGACAACCAATTGCTTGGTGACAAGTTAAATAAAAGCCGTTTAGATGTTGCTTTATAGACGAATGATGGGATCACCACGGGCAGATACAAAACATGCTGCAGATGATTTAAATAAAAAAAAAAGGGGGGGGGGGAAGGCCATAATAATTTAACGATAATCGGCATCTGGAAGAGTCAACTTATATTTTTGTGTGTATCATGTTGTAGGAAGGCGGAACTATGTTGCGACAATGCGAAAGCTGAAGGGGGTTGGGGGGGGGGGACAAAATAGACGCACATGCAGAGAGAGAGAGAGAGAGAGAGAGAGAGAGAGAGAGAGAGAGAGAGAGAGAGAGAGAGAGAGAGAGAGAGAGAGAGGGAGGGAGGGAGAGAGAGAGTGAGAGAGAAAGAGAGAACGAACGAACGAACTAACTTTATTTTCAAAGGGTCACAAATTAGGCACGCAGGCATGTCTTACATTCGGCCCTTCCAAACACCTGTCCTTTACACAGCAGTCGTATTTATCAATGAAGCATGCTATGTTCACATAATATTATTCATATTATAAATATCAAGAAAACACACAAAAGCATCGGTGGTAAAATGAATGCACACACTCGCGCGCGCGCACATACACTTACATGCACACGTCCACTCATTCACTTACACACACATGCATTCACACCCACATACATACACACACACGTGCCACAAATACACACTCAGACACACACACACACACACACGTACATACACATACAGCCACACACGTAGACACATAGAGACACACGCATGCAGAAACACAAGCAGACACATACACACGCGAGAGAGATTGAGAGAGAGAGATTGAGCGAGAGAGAGAGAGAGAGAGAGAGAGAGAGAGAGAGAGAGAGAGAGAGAGAGAGAGAGAGAGAGAGAGAGAGATAAGGAATGTATGTTTAAGAAAAACTCAACAACGAGTGCTGGTGCAAGAAGCCAGTGACTGCCAGACTTGATTCTATTTATGAAATCGAAAGGATTAAGTAGGAAAGAAGAGAATGTCGGAGTCGATTTTCTTCTTCATCGATTGCCAGTACGTTATTCGCATCGTTATGCGAGTCATGTATATTTTACAATAACAAGAGACAACACGTACTGAAGACTTCCAACATAAAGACACTGTCTTCGCTCTGACACGGATGCGTCATCGACGGCCAGGTCGCCAGTGGCTGGTCAATAGACGACTTTGTCGCCAGGGAGGACAGTATTTAGGACTGTCTACTTTGATAGCAGCGCAGACAGATCATTATGGTCTAAAGAGAATGGCGCTGAGAGGAGTTACCAGGGGATGTGGCCGACGCTCAACACTCAGGGGCAGGAAAGATGGATATACAATCAGACGGCTACTGGTGCCATCGGAATTGGAACTCTTTGCTTGCTGCTAAAGATGGGGACAGAGCACTCAGTGGAGTTCCTGAGTGTTGTGATGTCGATTCTTAATTCAACATGCATTTGATTGCATCAACATTGCAGGAGTTCTTTTCAGGGTTCTTAGTGGCGGATAAACCTGTCAAAGTAGCGTGACGTGAAAAACCATCCAATAGCGTCCAGTCGTTACATCACCCAGTAGCGCTGCGAGGAGTTCCCAGACGATGTGGTCTGAAGCATGTTGGCTGATGCAGTCAAAAAAATCATACATGAAACATAAGACCTGAGACAAGACTCACCCCAGCTTTAATGAACATCGCCATGAATGCCCCGGAAATACTTGCAAAACCACAGGTCATGATGGCGTGCAGCTCTGACCTGGTTACCGTTGGCAGGTATGGTCGTACAAGGAGGGGAGCTTCTGACTGCATGATGGATGAAAATACATATAAGTTGTAATTGTGGTTAAAACTTAGACTGCTGCTGCTACAACAACAACTACTAGTACTAGAATTATTAGTGTAATAATTAAAACTTCTGCAGCTACTACCACTTCTACACACATCTCACCAATACCATTACAAGTACTACCACTATTGCTCCACTTGCGAATACTTCTGCTACTAAATCAACTGAAACAATATTAATGAAAATAATTATTACTACTACGACTGCTGCTGCTATTGCTGTTGATGCTACTACTTCTTCAATTACTTCAAATATAGGTTAGTTGCATATCCTTTACAGGACGTTGCAGAACCAAAATCAACAGTTCTTGGCTGTTGTGTGGGTTTTTTTAAGGCAAATTTACGTCCAGTAGTTTAATACTGCTTTCTGGAAGGTCGGCTTTCTTGATACCACTATCGAAACCAAAGCAACGCAAGGCACATAGCCGGCAGCTGGGATCGAACCCGGCATCCCTGCATTACGAAACGCCACAGAGGCTTTAAATATACTGTCACTAAAAGTTATAGCTTACAGTAATTTTTTATTTTATTTTAATAACTACTGCTAATAATAATTATACTGTTAGTGCTGTGTTGCTGCTGCGGTTGCTACTGTTATCACCACTACTATGATTACTACTAAAATAATAATAGTATTATTACATACTCATCGAGTTGAGGAATTTCCATTACAACTACTACAGTGCAACCATTACAACAATACGAACGAATGAACTAACTTTTTTTTTTTCTTTTTTGTCACAAGTTGATTCCTGCATACCCGTCTTACATGTGGCCTTTCTAAATACTCATCCTTGACACAACAATTATGTTTTACATGTAAAGAATGTTATTTTCGTCACTACTACGACTACAAATAAAATAATACAAGACCATTTTGTCTAACCGCTACCTTTCAACTTACAGCCATAGCTGAGTGAGTGACGTTCAACATACTAGGACCGTCCAACGAGCTATTAACACACAGTGTCAGAAAGTGCCACCCTTAGGATGAGAATCCCCCGGGCGCAAGTACCAGAAACCCAGATCAGCCGTTAGGTTATTCTAGGGTCTCCGACGACAGCCATGGTGTGGGTTTAAAATAAGAAAATAATTGCTTCCTATATTGGGACAGAGTTTAAACAAATAGCCGTCTCTGTCGTTGTACACATGTATATCAACAGTGGTGCTCTACTATAGTCCGTCTCAAAAATCGTGCCTAACTTTTAAAATATGTTATTCAGTACCCGTTCGATGTAAACTGTTGAAATTCGGTATGCAACCTGGTAATAATCATGTCCTTGCAGGAAAATAATTATAATTTTTTTTTAAATCGAATTTTTTGTCTTGCTTTATGTGTATTAATTGAAAGAAGGGGAAAAAAAGACACAGATTTAAATTATACAATTAACATGTTTATAATAAATGACTTTAGACGAAGCTTTCAAAACATGAAGCTGGAAGGCTTTTCTAAGTATTCCGTGCAAAAAACGAAAGAGCGCTTTTTTAGTATTAAAGTGGATTTGTCATGTACTGACATAATGTTTGCTGACTGGCTCATTTAAAAAAGATCAGCTGCTAGTGCCCTCTGGGAGTGAGTGAACTGTGCAGAAGCACAAATAGATGATTACGTGTCTGAGGAGGATAGCGATTCAAAGAATTACTAGGGGATCTAGCCGACGCTCAACACTCAAGGGAAGGGCGAGACCAATATACAGTCAGACAGTTACTGGTGTCATCGGAAATGGAAATCTTCGTTTGCTGCTGAAGATGGGGATGGGGCGCTTATGGGAGTGTCCCAGGTGCTATGTTGACGTTTCTTAATTCAACATTCTACATTCAACATATTTTGGCTCATAAAAAGTGCACGAATTGTGTTAATTGTTATGTTTGCAAATTATTAGTCAGACACACACAAATTATGAATTCATAAGGACATCATAAATATAAGCTCAGATACAAAATTTCGTGTTGTTCCGTAAAAGATATTTGTCAATATTTGATGGCATGACTGTTGAAATGGACTAGAATTAGAAAATGCCTTCCAGCAACTCACCAGGCCTATGAAAATATTGGCAGCCGCCACAACCGACTCCACGGGGCCTGTCTCCAAACACAAGGCCAACACTTTGCCAATTTTCAGGACAACGAACTCTAGAGCTCCCAAGTGATCCATCAGAAACAGGAACGAGTTGAAAAACACAATAACACCTGCAGACTTGCAAAACGAAACAAATACAGATAGTCGGTGTAAATCTCTTTAACATCTACACACACACAAGAAACTGCATTAGTCATTGTCCTAAATTTAATCAACGCTATTTTAAAATATAAAAAACAAGTTGTTTAATTGTCGTTGTCATCATCACATTCATCAGCGTCATTCGTTGTCATCATTATCATTCAACAATATCATCACCATTATAAGATTACGATTGTAATTGCAATTGTGACAATTATCATCATTGTCATTTAATCATTTTAACTGTCATTATCACCATTATTATTATCAGTATCATTAACATTATTGTCATATCCTCTATTTCATTATCATCATTAGAATGTCATTATCATCACCGTCATCATTATTATCATCACCATCATTATCAGCATCATTATAATCATTGTCCTTATCATCATTGTCATTTTCATCATTGTAAATGTCATAATTACCATTATCATTATTGTCATACCATCATTGTCATTATCATCATTGTAATTATCGATATCATCATCATCATCATTATTATCAGGTTCATTATCATCCTTATCAGTATCATTATCATCATTGTCTTTATCATCAGTGTAATTGCCACTATACTAATTATTATTATCAGTATCATTATCATCATTATTAACCAAGACATTACTGAAGATGGTATACTGACAGACAGACATGAAGACAAGTTGGCAGATATCAGAATGATACACAGACAAACATGCATTCTCACATCAATGAAAAAGCCAGCTGTATTGTGTTTGAAGGTGTCCCCAAACACGAAGGCCGTTCCTTTGTCTGAGAGCCTCACAAACTCAAATACTTTGTCCCCGATCCACTTGAATGCTTGGAACCCTGCGACAGTCCGAAGAGTGAGCACTGCAAACAGGAACTGTAGGATGAAACCCCAGAACACAGGGTGCCAGTTGATCTACAAAAGATAGAGAAAATTATCAGTCTATGGCAAGTGCTATGAACTTTATCAGGTACAGTGCAACTTCGACTAACTGTCATTCGTTTAACAGTCAGTTTTGGTTATCAATCATCGACAATATATATATATATATATATATATATATATATATATATATATATATATATATATATATATATATATATATATATATATATATATATATATATATATATTAAAGACAGGTTCTTTAGCCCTCACACAGCATATCACAATTACTTCTTCTTTTTCTTCTTCTTCTTCTTCTTCTTCTTCTTCTTCTTCTTCTTCTTCTTCTTCTTCTTCTTCTTCTTTTTCGTCGTCTTCTTCTTCTTCTTCTTCTTCTTCTTCTTCTTCTTCTTCTTCTTCTTCTTCTTCTTCTTCTTCTTCTTCTTCTTCTTCTTCTTCTTCTTCTTCTTCTTCTTCTTCTTCTTCTTCTTCTTCTTCTTCTTCTTCTTCTTCTTCTTCTTCTTCTTCTTCTTCTTCTTCTTCTTCTTCTTCTTCTTCTTCTTCTTCTTCTTCTACTTTTCTTCTATTTCTACTTCTTCTTCTTCTTCTTCTTCTTCTTCTTCTTCTTCTTCTTCTTCTTCTTCTTCTTCTTCTTCTTCTTCTTCTTCTTCTTCTTCTTCTTCTTCTTCTTCTTCTTCTTCTTCTTCTTCTTTTCTTCTTCTTCTTCTTCTTCTTCTTCTTCTTCTTCTTCTTCTTCTTCTTCTTCTTCTTCTTCTTCTTCTTCTTCTTCTTCTTCTTCTTCTTCTTCTTCTTCTTCTTCTTCTTCTTCTTCTTCTTCTTCTTCTTCTTCTTCTTCTTCTTCTTCTTCTTCTTCTTCTTCTTCTTCTTCTTCTTCTTCTTCTTCTTCTTCTTCTTCTTCTTTCCTTCTTCTTCTTCTTCTTCTTCTTCTTTTTTCTTCTTCTTCTTCTGCTTCTTTTTCTTCTTTTTCTTTTCAACACTTATGTTCTAGAGCAAGACTAATTTTCAGATGTTAACGAACAACCATAACATGTTACCGTAGTTTATAGCCGGTGAAGATGAAGAAGTAGACGATGAACTACTATTTTCTTCACCCATATTATCATAACCATCATCTGCTTTGTAGTAACCATCCTCATCCTCGGCCTTATCGTCATTTTTTTCTTTTATTTTTTATAAACACATCATCGGCATCAAGGGATTTGACAAAAGGCATAAGTGACAACGTAAAAGTGGCATTGTAAGGTTTGTAATTTCTGTTAACACTTTCAATTTCGAAAGGAAATCTTTTTTTACTATTTATTACAATTATTAATTGCAGTTCCACTACTCGATTTACGCCTCAGAAATAGTGCAAAGAACGCTGGCTGTATGTTAAAGCCACTCATACAGACACTGTGAAAGTAAAAGTAAAGGAACCTTGTCCACGCCTTACGTGTTGGGTATATAGGGCTAGACCTATACGTTATAGACCAACGGCACAAGATGGGTGATGTGGTTAGCATCACACTGGCAATCTTTACTTCACATGACTACACCTGATACCCACTCAAGGCTGGGCCGACCTGGCAGCCAAATTTATTTTTGAAAAAACAAAATTCCGGCTCCGCAAGGGAGCGAACTCATGACCTTCTGATCCTGAGGCGAGCATCTAGCCGCTATGCCATTGTAAGGTGTGTGAAATTTACCAGCTACAAGTCTTAAAATACTAGCAACTAAGCAACGAGGAGGAAAATATCACATGATACCCTCTTTAGTGCAGTCGTTATCTGCAAATGCTTACACATGCGTGGTTTTATAATTGCTTCTGCAGCAATGCTGCTCAAAGGCAGAAATTACAATGCCGGACTATAAAACAATCAGTAAAACTTTTGATGCGTTTTAGGATGAAATTTTCGTTATTTGAAGCCCTACTCTGGCTTTTGCCAGGGGCCGCAATATAGCCTGGCCATAAATATGGCCTGAAGGCTGAACGTGGATTCTAGGACCTCTCCACGGTGATCCTCGCCCACATGGTGGCACATTGTGTCATTGGGTGTTTATCGCTTGTGTGATGCCTTGGTGGGGTAGAAAGTCAGTCAGTCAGTTATAAAACAATCTGTGATGTATTAAACCCTCCGTGTTCTGTAACTGTGGCTTCTGTGCATCGACCCATCTTACAAATCTACATAGACAAGCCTGAGGCTGGTAGCTCCTGCAGTAAAGTATGTGAGTTTAGACATCAAGTACGATACCTTGCTTGGTTTGTAGGAGCCCAAGAAACAGAGGACCACAAGGGCGGCGATTCCACCCAGAGCCTGGGCATTCTGCGGGTGTGTGCTTAGTATATCCACTCCCAGGTAGACACAGGTGAGTGAGAACAAAGCTAAATACAAGCCACTGGGGGGGGGGGGGGGTATGAGTAAAGAGTGATATTATTTTTTTTAATACCAATCATAAACTGAGAAAGAGAAAAAGAAGAAAAAAGAACAAGAAGAAGAAGAAGAACAAGAAGAAGAAGAAGGAGTAGGAAGAAGAGGAGTGGGAGTAGAAAGAAGAGGAAAACAGGACGATTTTTTTAAAAGTGATAACTAATGAAAAACATAAAAAAGTTAAGTATCTTTTACAGGCCGTTGCAGAACCATCTTTGCGGTTTTTTTTTTTTTTTTGGAAGCTTCTGTAGTTTTTCTGGGCAAATTTTGCGTTCAGTAGTTTGCTATTGCTTCCTCAACGGTCAGCTCGCGTTACCACTGTCGAAACCAATGCAAGACAAACTGTCTGAACCTGGGATTGAAGCCGTCACCCCGGCATTACGAAGCTCGTTCGCAAAGCTTAAAACACCGATTCCGAGAACTAACAGAAAAAGGTTACAACGAATAGAGTGGCAGAATGTCAACAAACAGTTCTATAACTTGAAAGCAAGTTTTTAAAAAAAGGGGATGCATAAGGGATGTAAACATATTACTAGGCGTGCTCGACTGTTTGTTGGTACCTTTCTGTCTTTTCAGATGAAAGAGTGTGTGCTGTGAAGAGGCTTAGGAATCATTGCCCACATATCTTTTGTGAATTACCAGTGTCTATGAATGATTTTTGTGAATATGCCGTTTATAAAAATGATTTTTGGTAACATGCGGGTGTATATGCGTGATTTTTGCATGTAGAGTGTGTATACACGATTTTTGTTGCATATACAGAGTATATAGATCATTTTTGAGAGTATACATTGTGTATGCATGATTTCTCTTGTGGGTTGTGCAGTGCGAATTTTGCTTTCCATAAATATACGATGTATATGCACTGTGTGTACACTCTTTTTCGGATATAAAATATTTAATTGACAAATTAGGTGGCGTTTTCACGTAGGAAGTTGGTTTAATTAAGTGCATTATCTGCTGTCTCTTTGGAATATTTTTGTGATAAAGTCCCTATTCGTGTACAAACGTTCTTTTTTATTTATGATCCTGGCCTCGTGTAACGGTATTTGTCTGACAATACGTCAAAATATTGAAAGCCAGGTCTTACAAACTCGAGTAGATCAGTCTTAGTTATGATGGTTTGGACATGTATGCAGAACGAGGGAAAATCGGCCATCATGGCAGGCATAGAAGGCTAAGAACCAGGGAACCAGACTTTCAGGGCGACCCAGAGTCTGCTGGGAAGGCAACATCCCCTGGCTGATAGAAGAGTGGAATGGAACACAGCCAGAAAGAAAACTGCTGTTAGAGAATTATGGCAATCTCTCTGGCAAACCTTCACATCCCAAGGTAGAAGAGGAGTGACTAAGTAAGTAAGAGTATTTTAGTGGTTTTCAACATATGTGCACAGCTGTTGAGATATTTTGCAGTTGTTGACATTGCAAGAAACAAAAGAGGACACTTACTATCGCAGCACTGTTCGGAACCGCTTGGAACTTGGTGTGGTCCAACAGCGCAACACAGCTGCCAAGGCTCGCGGCACGTACTTGCTGATGACGCTGTCGTAGATGATTGTTGTGATTATGAGTGCACTGATGACTGTGAGGATGTAGGAGCCTTCATCGTAGTATCTGCAGGAGTTCAAGGGTTAAAGGTGAACTTTTTCCTATACAGACATCAGTTTAACAATTTACATTCTGTACGCACTACTTTGACTCTTTATTCTGTCAGTACCTGACCGATGTTACTTCCATACTTTCTTGTTGGCACAATTTAGAGCAAAGACAGTCTCAGTTAACTACAATTAAAGAAATAAATGAAAAGACGAGTTAATTCTTTTAGTACAAATGAACTCACCATACGTTCTTTGGTTACTCTATATATGGTATCTTCTTCTCTACTTTTCCTAATCCACTCTCGTCTAATGCAAGCCTATAATTCTCCAGTGTTTATTATAACACTTTTTCTACCAGTGCTGTGTTGATGTTTATTTTTTAGCTACATAAGACAAAAACATTTCTGGTTTTGGATACAGAAACTTTAGCAGAGACACTGTTGAATTTAACACTATATCGGATTGGAAAAATATTAAGTAAAGACACTGCTGTGATAAGAATAAACTTACCAGAAAAACAGAACAGTAAAGGTTAGCCAATGGATAACAAGTATAGATCCATTATAAAATGCGTGGTGGGTTTACAGGTAAGGAAAGAGTTAAACGTTAAAGTGTCATAAACGTAAGATGGTTATTTCGTAGGTAGGTAACTCATGTTGAATGTGTGTATGTGTGTGTGTGTGGGTTTTTTTTTTCTGTCGTAAATTCCATTCCCTATCCCTAACCCTAACCCTAACCCAACCCTAACCCTAAACCAACCCTAACCCTAACCCAACCCTAACCCTAAACCAATCCTAACCCTACCCCAACCCTAACCCAACCCTTACCCTAACCTTAACCCTAACCTAACCCTAATCCTTCACGTTTCCCTGCTCATCCAAACACTTTCTCAGTCTGATCTAGGTCAGAGGGGTGCCACGTTGCACTGCTCTTTTTCAAAAAGAGTCTCTCGAGTGACCTAGGCTCAGGCTGTAAGTAGGGGGTTTATGTTAGGGCTAGTTCTAGATGTTCAGTGTTTGTTAAAAGCTGTGTCTCCGTGTAATGTAGAACACGCGACATCGGTGCTGATGTAATTGGAGGTCCACAACATGATACTCATCCGACGTAGAAGAGTCTGAGAAAGTATCAATGAAAAGTCAGCCAGTGTGTAAATGAGCCGGGAAACGAGAACTGGACCAAGTGATATAAGAGAGACAGCGCGTGTCCAAGAACAGAGATTTAAAGATACTGATTTTTCTCAGACGTTGAAGCGATGTCTGAATATACCAATCAGAGCAGAACAGCATGAAAACGCTGCAAGAACTCATGGTCGCTACATCAGCCAATAATGAGCAGGAGTCGTCGGTGTAAACACACCAAAAACATGCTTAGCATGAGATCTGAGCACTGATGAGGTTAGTTCGACGTTAGTCTCCCCTGACCCCGCCCATTTACACACTAGCTCACTTCTAATTGGTAGTTTATGAGCCCCGTGACGTTCGCACGCGGTACGAGGTTGTTACGAAATGTCGTTCATATTGCTTGTTGAATATTTCAGCACGCCAGCGCTTTTAACACTCCAAAAACATGGAGAAACTGGGTCTAACACAACCCTCCTAGAGAGTTCTGCAACTTATGTCACAGGCATTCTCTTTTTTTTTTGGAATGAAAATGTAAATGCAAGACATCGCAGAAACCCAGCAACAGAGCGGAACACACCCGTAACCTTCAAAAAAGTCGACCAGCCAAACAAACTTTTGAAGGAAAAGTGACCTACTCTATTTGGGTAAACTAACGTCGAACTAACTCACTGATGGCTGTGCCATGAAGATGAACTTGCAATTAATAATGACCAGTGATGTCTAGTTGCTGCGTCCCAATGTTGGTCCCAATTTTTTGCTGTTGTATGTCCCACCTTGGCTGTTGCCGGCAGCCCTAAAATAACCCGACCTATATGTTGAACGGGGTTTCTGGGACCTGTTCCCTGGTGATCCTCATCCAAAATGTTGACACTTTATGTCAACGGGTGTCAATCGCTCGGTGTTATGTCCTGGTGGGTTGAGCGTCAGTAAATGAACAGTAAACAATGGTCCTTTTTATTACAAAATGGTACGCGTTCTAAACTCTAATTAGCCGCTGAGAAATATCAGCAATGAGCAAGCAATTTAAAATTTCTGCTGAGGCACTACAGGAGCGAATTTACAGAAGAACAGGTTGTATTTCATAGACACAATTATTATGAAATAGTTCGGTGTGGAATCGTCATGCGACTGAGTAAACTAATAGCGTTGTGCTTTATACAGGAATGACCTAAGGACAACCAATCAAGTCATATAAAGGGAGCATTGTCTTCCTTCTTTAACTTCTTTCTTTCTTTCTTTCTTTCTTTCTTTCTTTCTTTCTTTCTTTCTTTCTTTCTTTCTTTCTTTCTTTCTTTCTTTCTTTCTTTCTTTCTTTCTTTCTTTCTTTCTTTCTTTCTTTCTTTCTTTCTTTCTTTCTTTCTCTTTCTTTCTTTCTTTCTTCTTTCTTTCTTTCTTTCTTTCTTTCTTTCTTCTTCTTCTTCTTCTTCTTCTTCTTCTTCTTCTTCTTCTTCTTCTTCTTCTTCTTCTTCTTCTTCTTTTTTCTTCTTCTTCTTCTTTTTCTTTTTCTTCTTCTTCTTCACATTCACCAGCTGTAAACTATGGTGGAAAGTTCTGGTTGTTCGTCCACTTCTGTACTGCAGTCCTCTTACAGAACCTGAGTGTTGCGTGTGCATCCGTTTGACAGATCTGACTCATCTGGGAGCAGACTGTTGTTCCTTGCCTCTCAGGCAGATGCACTCCGACTTGAAAGAAAACTCTCAATCAGTCGACTCTTACGACATGCTTTTGGGTAGGCAGTGGGTCTATTCTTATTTTCCATATAATAGGGTCCCAGAACCCACAAATGAAACTTCTTTCTTTCGTCTTTCAACGACGCATAGATCCCCAACCAACTCATAGCCATGTTTTTTGCTGTCGTGCACTATATGTTGAATTTTGCAGCCAACGTTTCGTGTTAGACATTTTGGTATGAACTTGTCTCATAGTGACCAGCCTTAAACAGCTCTTTTGACATGCATCGAAGATTACCCGTTTACTATTTTGTACTTTTTGACGTGGGCCCCAGTTACATATTTCGATTAAACAGCAACAATTATCAGTTTCGTTGCTACTACAGTAATTATTACTAACTGCACTATGACGACTGCTACTATATGTACTTTTGCAACAACAGCGTAGTATCTACTACTACTAGCAATGTAAGTGATTGTACTACCAAGCAGCAGTAGTAATTGAAAAAGTAATAGTTGTTTTAAGAAATTGCTGTAGAAGTAGCAACAGCAGCAGTAATAGTTGTAGTAGCAGTATTATCAACAGCAGCAGTAGTAGCAGCAGAGAAGCAGCGGCAGTAGCAGGAGCAACAAAAACTGTCGGAGGAGAAGTGCGAGTAGGAACAAAAATAGTTCCTGAAAACGAAGTGCTAACGAGTGGTTTAATACAGTGTGTGTGTGTGTGTGTGTGTGTGTGCGTGTGCGTGTGCGCGTGTGTGCGTGCGTGCGTGCGTGTGTATGTGTGTGTGTTGTAAACATTTTAAACTATTCTGTAAACGGTGAAGTGAACCAAACACCTCAGCATATAAATTACAATTGTTTACCTGTAACAAACACAGTAAGTAAAATATGTAAAATAGCACAGCAGCGTAACAATCCTTGCCCCAAGGGAAATGACTTTCTTTCGGCGACAACAGAAGTTGCCAATGGCCGTCTCAGTCTTCTCCACTTGTCGCTTCCATATTCCAGGGCGATCGTTCTTTTCCGTGGCTGTCTGTTCTTTTGGGACTTCTACATCGATGCTAGTCTTCTTAATGTCCGAGTTATCTTTGCTGATTTTCAGAACGTCGCCGTTTGTAGTGATTGTCGTAATAGGTATCTAAAATACATTTAGAAAATATTTATTTTTTTGTGTAGTTATCGTATAGATAAGTATCTAAAATATATGTAGATAAAGTTTATTTTGTCTGTAGTGATTGCTGAGATAGTTATCTAAAATATATTCACATAATGTTTATTTTGTCTATAGTGATTGTTAAGATGTGTATTAAAATATGTCTAGATAATGCTTATTTTGACTGTAGTGATTGTTGAGATAAATATATAAAGTAGATCATGTTTAGTTAGTTGGTCAACTGATTATATTCATCGCATATTGAACCATCCAGTCCATAAGTGCTTAGATCCCCTCTTCAGTATCTCTTTCAGCGTTTAGTGGCTTATGACACCAGTTCTGTGTTGGTTTACTAAGCTTCTTGGGGCCACTGTGTAGTTTTCTTGCCTAGCTTCACCTCTTTTAATGTTATGTTCGTGATGTCTCGTCAGTGTTGTAGTTTCACAATCATTATTTGATTCTTTTAATCGAAATGTTTCTCTGAGGCTGATAAAGACTGGTCGAAACGTTCGGTTGTGTTCGTCTGCGTCTTTTCCATTCCTTCTGGTGAGCTTTCTTGCCAGTTTTTGTGTTATATGCAGCGTTTCTCTGAGGGCATTTAACATATTAGACCTGCCCAATGCTCGTCAAATTTCCCACACAAGCATCACTTGCAAGTCTGTCGGCTCAGATAATGTTTATTTTATCTGTAGTGGCTGTTGAGATAGGTATCTAAAAATATATTTAGAGAATGTTTTTGTTTTTTGTTTTTTTTTGGGGTGTCTATAGTTATTTTTGAGATATATATCTAAAAAGATATTTAGATAATGTATTTTTTTAATCTATAGTTATTGTTGAGATATGTATCTAAAAATATATTTAGAAAATGTTTATTTGTCTGCAGTGATTGTTGTGATAGGTATCGAAAAATATACTTAGATAATGTTTATTTGTCTGTGGTGATTTTTGAGATAGGTATCGAAAAATTCATTCAGATAATGTTTATTTTGTCTAAAGTGATTGTTGGGTATCTAAAAAATATATAGATAATGCATTTTTTTTTTTGTCTGTAGTAATTGTTGAGAAAGGTATTTAAAACAGTGTTTAGATAATGTTTTTGTTTTGTCTGTGGTGATTGTTGAGATAGGTATTTAAAACAGTGTTTAGAAAATGTTTTTGTTTTGTCTGTAGAGATTGTTGAGATAGGTATTTAAAACAGTGTTTAGAAAATGTTTTTGTTTTGTCTGTAGAGATTGTTGAGATAGGTATTTAAAACAGTGTTTAGATAAAGTTTTTGTTTTGTCTGTAGAGATTGTTGAGATAGGTATTTAAAACAGTGTTTAGATAATGTTTTTGTTTTGTCTGTAGAGATTGTTGAGATAGGTATTTAAAACAGTGTTTAGATAATGTTTTTGTTTTGTCTGTAGAGATTGTTGAGATAGGTATTTAAAACAGTGTTTAGATAATGTTTTTGTTTTGTCTGTAGAGATTGTTGAGATAGGTATTTAAAACAGTGTTTAGATAATGTTTTTGTTTTGTCTGTAGAGATTGTTGAGATACGTATTTAAAACGGTGTTTAGATAATGTTTTTGTTTTGTCTGTAGAGATTGTTGAGATAGGTATTTAAAACAGTGTTTAGATAATGTTTTTGTTTTGTCTGTAGAGATTGTTGAGATAGGTATTTAAAACAGTGTTTAGATAATGTTTTTGTTTTGTCTGTGGTAATTGTTGAGATAGGTATTTAAAACAGTGTTTAGATAATGTTTTTGTTTTGTCTGTAGAGATTGTTGAGATAGGTATTTAAAACAGTGTTTAGATAATGTTTTTGTTTTGTCTGTAGAGATTGTTGAGATAGGTATTTAAAACAGTGTTTAGATAATGTTTTTGTTTTGTCTGTGGTAATTGTTGAGATAGGTATTTAAAACAGTGTTTAGATAATGTTTTTGCTTTGTCTGTAGAGATTGTTGAGATAGGTATTTAGATAAACACAGTGTTTAGATAATGTTTTTTTTTTGTCTGTAGAGATTGTTGAGATAGGTATTTAAAACAGTGTTTAGATAATGTTTTTGTTTTGTCTGTAGAGATTGTTGAGATAGGTATTTAAAACAGTGTTTAGATAATGTTTTTGTTTTGTCTGTAGAGATTGTTGAGATAGGTATTTAAAACGGTGTTTAGATAATGTTTTTGTTTTGTCTGTAGAGATTGTTGAGATAGGTATTTAAAACAGTGTTTAGATAATGTTTTTGTTTTGTCTGTAGAGATTGTTGAGATAGGTATTTAAAACAGTGTTTAGATAATGTTTTTGTTTTGTCTGTGGTAATTGTTGAGATAGGTATTTGAAACAGTGTTTAGATATGTTTTTGTTTTGTCTGTAGTAATTGTTGAGATAGGTATTTAAAACAGTGTTTAGATAATGTTTTTGTTTTGTCTGTGGTGATTGTTGAGATAGGTATTTAAAACAGTGTTTAGATAATGTTTTTGTTTTGTCTGTAGAGATTGTTGAGATAGGTATTTAAAACAGTGTTTAGATAATGTTTTTGTTTTGTCTGTGGTAATTGTTGAGATAGGTATTTAAAACAGTGTTTAGATAATGTTTTTGCTTTGTCTGTAGAGATTGTTGAGATAGGTATTTAAAACAGTGTTTAGATAATGTTTTTGTTTTGTCTGTAGAGATTGTTGAGATAGGTATTTAAAACAGTGTTTAGATAATGTTTTAGTTTTGTCTGTAGTAATTGTTGAGATAGGTATTTAAAACAGTGTTTAGATAATGTTTTTGTTTTGTCTGTGCTAATTGTTGAGATAGGTATTTAAAACAGTGTTTACATAATGTTTTTGTTTTGTCTGTAGTAATTGTTGAGATAGGTATTTAAAACAGTGTTTAGATAATGTTTTTGTTTTGTCTGTGGTAATTGTTGAGATAGGTATTTAAAACAGTGTTTAGATAATGTTTTTGTTTTGTCTGTAGTAATTGTTGAGATAGGCATCGGAAATTATATATAAATAATGTTTATTTTGTCTACAGTGATTGCTGAGATAGGTACCTACAAAGTATAGTTCTTTGTTGATATCGTACCCCAGATTGCATCACAGGACAGTCTAACATTTTAGAGTGTAAAAAGACTGCGTTTCCCGGTTTTCTAGTGCTTTTAACTACCCTAAAAACATCTAGAACTGACCCAAACCAAACCGACCCACTTGCCACAAAAGAGTGCAGCCTAAGTCGTACTACTGCGTGCAGCCTAGGTCCCACGACTGCATGCAGCCTATCTACCACCCCTCTGAAATATTAGACTGTCATGTGACCTGTTGATTTTCCCCTTTTAGGGGTAAGATATTAATAAAACATAAACAATATATTTAGATTATGTTTATTTTGTCTGTAGTGATTGTTGATATAGGTATCCAATAAACATATTTAGATAATGTTTTTTTCGTCTCTAGGCGTCTGTAATTGAGTAGGCAATGTCAAATTACTTAGACTTACTCTTACCTGGAGAAAAGGCTAGGAAAGGCTTTTCATGAGATGCTGAAATTATACTAGACATTAACTGGCAAGATAAGATAAGTAACACGGGTATTGTAAGGGTGGGCATCAGAACCGCTTTCGCCATGTTCAGTCTCCAGAGTCTCAGTCACACTTGGAGGATGGCAGGGTCTCTAAGGACATTCTCTAAGGCAGTGGCTTTCAACCTTCCTAATGCCGAAACCCTTTAATACAGTTCCCTCGTGTTGTGATTGTAGTGAAATAGGAAGGCGGACAGAAGGGGTTAAATGAAGAAGGCATTTATTTCAGAACAGCATCTAGGCATATCAATCCATCACTGGTTCGCATGACAGAAAACAGTGATTAGAAAGCTGGCCCGACCAGCGATACAGATAAAACCAGATGCACTGTGACCAGTTGAATAGATACGTTTATCCAAACGTGACCACCAGAGACAGTTGACAGGGGGTGATTGAGAACCCGCGCGAGAAAGAGAGGGGAAGCGGGACTGAAGGTGAAGGGTAGAGGAACGAGGAGAGGTCAGTTAGTAGCTAGCGGTTTGAGAGAGCAGGAAAGGAGAGCCAGTAGCCAGCCGCTGAAGAGAGGAGTTGAGAAAGCAGTCGTGAGAAGATGTTTTAAACTTGGAGTTTAGCTAGAACAGTGATTAAGGAACTCGTAGAGAGACGTACGAACATATACAGTAATAAGATAATGAAGTGTTCCTATACTATTGGTTATTGAAATGATTCATTCTGTTTGACTTGACAATATTGTTAATAAACAAACTCCTGTGTAATTGTTACATCACTGGCCTTGTTGTTAAATACGATTCAAGAGAGCTATGAACTGTATCCTGACTGACTTTCTACCCCACCAGGACATCACACAAGCGATAAACACCCGATGACACAAAGTGCCACCATGCGGATGAGGATCACCGTGGAGAGGTCCCAGAAACCGCGTTCAGACAATTGGCCATATTGATGGCCTGCCTATATTGCGGCCCCTGGCAAAAGCCAGAGCAGGGCTTCAAATAACAAAAAATTGCGTCCTAAGAAGGACGTAAGGAATGTTATGAACTGTATCCATACACCTTGGCTGCATTAGACACATCCATACTTGGGGGATGTGAAGACACAACTGTGTCACATGGTGACCGCCAAATAATTTTATTTCTTTATAACTTCAATAAATATGCGTTTTCCGATAGTCGTAGGCGACCCATGCGAAAGGGTCTTTCGACCTAAAAAAAAAATTGCGACCGGCAAGTTGATAACCTCCCCTCTATGGTGAATTACAGATTGGTATAAGATGTCGAGCTCTGTTTATATTACGATATAAAGATGTGTGAAACTGGAATATGAATAATACATATATTGAGGTAGATTTTCGGGAAGACACTGCTTTGGACGGTGCTGCATGGAGGTGGAATATCAGGAAAAAAATAGGAATAAATCAGAAAATAACTGCAAACTGATTATGAGATGAGCGCTAATTGGGGCATGACATTTCTTAAAGCGAGCGGGTCTTCCCACTCACACTAGCCATCGCTATGGGATAGATTCCTATGCCTCCATTTGATATATATAACAATATCGACTTAAAAGACGGAAAGGCTTTCAAAGCCAAAAGCAAAACTTCTGAACGTAAAATTGTCATGTAAAACAAACAGAAAAAGGGAGACAAAACGATGGGGTAGATACTACAACGTGAAGAACAGATATTTAGTTAGTTGCTTATCGTTTACAAAATGTCGCAGAACCAACCCCTGCATTTATTAGCTGTTGTGGTTTTTATAAACAAATTTTACGTTCAGTAGTTAGTCACTGTCCTGGACGGTCAGCTCACGGTACCACTGTCAAAACCAGCGCAAGAAAAATTGTCCGCAGCCGGGATAGAACCCGGCACCCTGGCATTAGGAAGCGCATTCACAACGCTCCAGCCACAGACGTCGACATATACGCTTTAACATATACTGACTACTTTTTTTTGGGGGTGGGGGGGGGGGGGGGGAGGGCGGGGCGGGGGGCTGGTTGAGTGGGGGTCAAAAGGCCCGATTTCCCCGAATAGGGTTTTATCCTTGTGGCTCTGTCTTTGACAGCGCTCGACTGCTTATGCACTGCTAAAGCAAAAATCTCCGTAGCTCCGCTGACGACCCTCAGAGATCTGCGACACACTTGATAATAGAAATTCGCAGTCAGAATCTGACCCTTTTCTGGACGACTAGAAATCATCATCTTCCATTCTTCCTCCTCTGCCTCCTCTCCCTCATCGTCATCGTTTTTTTTTTATCTTTATCATCAACATCATCATTATTTTTTTTTCATCTTTATTAGCAACCTCATCATCCTCATCAAAAGCTTCATCATCATCATCATCATCATCATTATCATACCACTCCTCGTCATTGTCATCATCATCATTATCATACCACTCCTCGTCATTGTCATCATCATCATCATCCTTATCATTGTCCTCCAGTGGCGCGGTGATTTATGTTACAGGCGTGAGGGAAAGTTAAGTCCAACATGATGTGTATAAGGAGATACTCCGTACGTCACTCGGGCGACAGTCTTTCACTGTTCTGGTTGTACGGAACCTCACACAAGACCCCTGCAGCACGTCCTCGTCGTGCGCCACTGATAATGTCTTAAATGAGCATTAACAGAGCTGTCAGGGGATCTCGGAGTTTGGCGGCCCCAGAGGTGATGTGTCCTTGTGGCTCTCATCGGCCCGCCCCCAAACGCATGGGTGAAAAAGGTTATCAAAACTAATTAGGAATCGTATTGAACGGAAAAAGTCCAAATGTCCACACCAAAAAACCCCACTCGCCCGAGTGCTGGGACCAAACAGATAACGATATGCCTGACGCAGGAAGTTCAATTTTGTCGGGCTAACGGCTCGTCAAAGATACCTAACATGCGAAGAAAACGAATGTACCTATTTTGGTGGTCACAAAAGTCCAGAACCCGCGGGCTGCTCCCCGCTGACATCCGGAGGTCGCAGCCCTTGTCGAGCGGGAGGCCTAATACGGTTGTGAGGTCAAGCAGGCATGTGCAGGACGTGACGATTCCTTGGGTGAGCCCAGAACCAGAGCGCCATGTGCCGGCTCTGCAAAAATGGAAACCTCCTTGGATGGCGGGGAATGCCCATGATCTGCCCCTGCCTTCCCTTGACGGCCAACCGTTCCACAGGGGGCTGCCCCAAAGGGGTACTCCGGGGGCAGAACCTGCGGAGAAGGAGACAAAGTGGACACCACACAAATCAGGCAACGTCTCGACCCACACAAAACAATGGCCACAGTCATCCTAGAAATAGGCCTGACGTCTTCCATCGAAGTCGGAGTACAGCTGCCCATGAGGCAGGGAACAACAAAACGGTTGTACACGCAAAACTCAGGTCCAGGTAAAAGCCAGAAGTCCAAGCGGACGATTAACCGGGACCTTCCGCTGGAATTCACAGCCGGTGAACGAAGAAGAAGATTGTCCTCCAGATGATCATCATCATTATCGCCTGCTGGCCACAGAGTCCACATTTATTTAAGCAGTAATAGACGACAACAAGCAATTGAAGGTTGTTGTGCACGACTGGTGTGCGACACAGAAAGACATCGATCACAATGAAAACGGGATGTTGAATAGATCAAAGGAACAATGGTTCTAACTGTTGCAATATAGACACGACTTCCTTGTTGCTTTTGAGGTATCTGGTGTTCACCGTGTTTAAATGAGTGTGTGTTGTGTGTGTGTGTGTGTGTGTGTGTGTGTATGTGTGTGGGTGTGACCCTGTGTACGTGTTTGTCTCGGTGTATGCATTGGTCCCTGAGAATATGTACTGTATGAATGCATGTGTGGGGGATATATTTGTCACAGAGGAGCCACAGGCGTGTACGGAAACACACAGAGAAAGAATTTAAATATAGGACGAAAGAAACAAAACAAAACAAAAAAGAAAGAAAGAAAGAAAGAAAGAAAGAAAGAAAGAAAGAAAGAAAGAAAGAAAGAAAGAAAGAAAGAAAGAAAGAAAGAAAGAAAGAAAGAAAGAAAGAAAGAAAGAAAGAAAGAAAGAA